TTTTACTTTGGATTGTCTTGGTTTTTTTGATAGTTAATTTTCTAGGAGATATTAAGTTTATAACTTATTGTTGAATTTTAAAATAATCTTGGCCAAAGATGACATAATATTAACMAGACCTAAACATCAAACCAATGCACAAGTTTATGTACTTAATATAATGTGAAATACTATTGCTCTGTTCAGCAGAGTGCTCAATTTGAATTTATAACTAAAGTTGTAACTATTGTTGTCTTTTGCTCTTGGCATCTTCTTACATGTAAATTGTCGATTTGTCCAAGGCAAGCGTTTGTATTTTCTAGATTTTCTCGCAGATTAACTGTTAGTTGAGCCTCGAATATTGCATTTTAACATTTACATTTTAACATTTACATGTCGTTTCTTCGAGCTTTTTCTTTGGAGACAAACGGCTTTTACAGGAGTCAATTTTATATTTCGGTGATTCCTTCGTAGCAAGTCTCCCCGTCTCAAGCGACGGCCAACGATGTTTTCCTCAATAATGTAATTACAGGTTAATTGAAACCAGACATAGCGCTTTATAAAACTCCAGGCCATCGCATTATAATATTATGTTCGCTTGTTTTAAGCTTAGCCAGTCATTTGGCCAGTCATTGGCACGATTACTTGTCAAGAAAGCCGCCATATTTGTTTCAGTTGACTGTGGTAATCGGACCTGAGGTATAAACTTCATGCCGGAATGCCATACAGACCGCTACAGACCTCAATAAACAAGTATAGGCATATGTGCCATGGCAACAATCATACATGATGTACATACCGAACGTGACAGGAAAAAAAAAAAAACACAGAAAGTGTTTGCATTTTATGAACGTCCCAAACCGCAAGGCCGCCTGGGACGTTAATAAGTCGTGAATTAAGGAAATTGTGTTATGTGGCAAGTGTACTGTTTCCTGGATATTGTTGACAAAGGTAGTGTCTACATGGAAAATGGGTATAATCTAAACTGATTTTTTTTGTCTAGATATGGAATGCAACAACACAATCGAAATGGGATCAGCCGGAAACGACGGTGTCAACGAGACTACAGTCAGCGGTTATACTCAAGATTATAAGCTCTGTGAGTACAACACACTCAAMAAAACCCTAAAGCCACTATTYGTATCGATGAGGATTATAGGATCGGTTTATGGCGATGTTTTCAAAGAAGGCTGTATGAAGTCTAATTCCATAGGGTGTTCAGATGAAATCATGGACCATAAAATCGAACATCAAGGAAGCAATGAGAAGGATCYCAAGTCATGTAGACACACTCTGGGGTTCTGTTTCTGCGTTTTCGTTGGGACAGTGCATTTTCTCTTAGTTGGTCACGGAATATATGAAATAGCTTCCGTAGGTAACACGATGAACATTATGAAAATGACATTTCGTTTTAGTTGGTTGTTTATATGCGCTTGCCAGCATATCGTGTGCGTATTCATCACCTCGTATCGTACCAAGAAAACAAAACTTACCAGATTTGACAGGTTTSTCAAGGCTATGCTTTTAGTAAGAGAAGAAAGCGTCCTTAAGACCAAACACCGTGTGATAATTAATCTCAAATGTGGCTGGATCTATATGATGATCAATGCATTGGTTTTCTGGATAGGATTTTCTTTAAGAGAACCAGATATACTCGAAATATTGCTAGGAAGCTCAGACTGGTCTCTTACTCATTCTGATAAACTTATCTATCCTTTTGCAATTATGGTTCCATTCGTGGTTGGCACCTGGGCAATTCCAACGTGTTTATACATTTCCATGTGCAATGTGGTCGGTGGCTGCTTTGACGATCTTTTCGACCGGACTTCCTCTGCAATTTTAGAAAAGAARCATATCGATCTGAAAAATCTTCGTCGAGAGTATGTCCGCCTGAGTAACCTCCTTTCYGCTCTAAATGACTTGCTGTCACCTCTTGGGATGGTGATGTTTTCAATTTACTTTCCAGTAATATGTCTTAACATCAATATAGGTATACGGACATTTGAACCAGGTCACTCTGTTATCCACCGTGTGGCTTACGTTTCGTGGATGGTATTGAACTCTTCAATTCTCTTTCTTATTTCTTTGAATGGAGCTCGGGTAAATGAAGCGGTAGGTAACACACAATGCAAACTGATGAATTAGACTAGACAGCTATCATTAATTTCAAGCAAGAAATTTCCCAATTGGGTTCTGATAGTGTCTAATATATATGGAGAGAAATTGGGCCATGTACCAAAAATTGTAAAATGTGTATATTATTTAAAAGCGTTCAAACAGTAGATTGCTTTTCATACATCATTTTTTTNCATATCGATCTGAAAAATCTTCGTCGAGAGTATGTCCGCCTGAGTAACCTCCTTTCTGCTCTAAATGACTTGCTGTCACCTCTTGGGATGGTGATGTTTTCAATTTACTTTCCAGTAATATGTCTTAACATCAATATAGGTATACGGACATTTGAACCAGGTCACTCTGTTATCCACCGTGTGGCTTACGTTTCGTGGATGGTATTGAACTCTTCAATTCTCTTTCTTATTTCTTTGAATGGAGCTCGGGTAAATGAAGCGGTAGGTAACACACAATGCAAACTGATGAATTAGACTAGACAGCTATCATTAATTTCAAGCAAGAAATTTCCCAATTGGGTTCTGATAGTGTCTAATATATATGGAGAGAAATTGGGCCATGTACCAAAAATTGTAAAATGTGTATATTATTTAAAAGCGTTCAAACAGTAGATTGCTTTTCATACATCATTTTTTTTAATTTGGAAAATTATTGTGATATCATTTGTCTGATGTTTTATTAGTGCAGTCTGTTTACACTATTCACGGATATAATGATTGCGCTACAACTTACTAGAATTGAACAAAATATCTTTCAGCTCCCGCAAAGAAGGGGAATCTCGCGCTCCTTTTTTCAAATTTTTACTCGATTCCCGAATTTTCTTTTATTCTTTGCGAGTCCAAAGAGATTTCGAATTGTGGCAAGTCCACCGAACAGAACAACCAACAACAACTGCAATTATACGTCGACAAATTAATTTGAAATTAAGTTATCACTAATGAACCAAGTTCTGACTCATGAGACCTTCTAACCACAGGCCATTCTAATACTCCAGTTTCGAGATCTTATCTGTGCACCGTTAACCTCGAGATCAAGTATATATCTAGCAGAGATCCTATTGTAATGTAAGCACTAGGTGTACAAAGAAAACAATAAACATTTATGCTTGATCGAGCTAAACTAAGCTAAACTTGCACAAAAGAGAATTCGAAACTGCAGTAAAAAATGCAATAAATACACTATCCAATAATATTCTCGACCAATTTTAGGCGGGCCGCCTGTCAGAAGTTCTTTATAACATCAATATCAGAGAACTGGACGAAAAGAGTGAGCTTGAGGTTAGTGTCGTATTATTGACCTGGTTTTAAACTGGTTTTGCTTAAAAACTCAATTCTAACCAATTAAAAGGTAGCTAAAGGTTTCTTATTTTCTCTTATATTTCTTTCTTGATACAGCTGATGTTACTATTGTCAAACGTGAACTTTAACTACGCAAGTTTAACCGTTGGTGGCCTGGTTACTATTACYAAAGAGATCATTTTAACGGTAATTATTTGTACAACTCATAGAACCCCGACAGATGCGATGGTCTTTTCACCTAGTGAAGTTTTGTATCAAGATAGCAAACTCGAACCCACTTCAATTTATGTGCGTCACAAACTAATACTCCTCTCTTTGATCTGTTTGTAGGTATTTGGAACAATTGTAGGATACCTTACAATTCTCATACAATTCAAATAATCTATGTAATATTTATCATTAATTCGTACTTTCTTTTTGTATAATCACGGCCATTCATTGAGKAGCATGATGATCTCAGGTGCCATCCTCGGTTATTGCAAGTCCATGATGCATGAAAGTTGGACAAATCTAAATAGTCTAGAGTCAAGAAACCTTCTTCAAGAAACCTAGCACTAAAAGGGACCGCGGAGCGGGAATCTGATTGGGGGGGCTAGCGGCTGCCAATGGCAGAAGTGGGGGATGTTATTTCCAGCGTTTTCAGGCGTTTTCAAATACATATTTCTGACCGTTAAAACCGCACACACGGTCACATGCTATTCAATAAAATCCAAAAGACTTCACAAAAACATGGCTTAAATTTTAATTGTTTTTACACAATCTTCACATAATGAAAAGTGAATTTTCMCAAGGAGGCTCTTCGCTTATTYATTTAAGAAMATTCMAAATGGCGGAAAATTATTGCCCCCCGCGGTCCATRACTGAGCTTTGTTGTTTAAGCTGAGATAATTACGCTGGTTTATTWTAATAGTACTTATTATTAATAAATTATATATCACTGCATGAGCATCGCAGAAGTCATGGGTTTGATTACCGATGAAGCTTGAATTTGTTTTGAGCGATCCATTTATTAATAATTTCTTAAACTWTTAWATTTCACTGCGAYGATYATAATTCCTCACATTTCTTCACSGCTATCGAACYATCATTTCAATAAAACCTTTTGTTCAAAGTTTGGAGTAATGAATGGCTTCTGAGCAAATTAAGTTAGTTCAGGAAGTTTTACTAATAATCCTAAGAAGTGTAATAATCATGAATAATTTGTGATGCACCGAAAAAAGAACGAAAAAG